ACCAAGTTTCCCAACCTCAAGTCCAATCTGTTTCAACAGTTCTCGAAAAGTCATGTGTCTTCTGTAGTGGCTCTCATTTGTTTGAGAATTGCTCATCCAACCCAGAATCAGTCTTCTATATGGGAAATCCCAATAGGAATCAATCTAATTTTTCCAATAATTTTAACCCAGGTTGGAGGCAAAACATTGGTTTCCAACATTCTCAAGGACAGGGACAGCAAGTTGGTCCCTCAAATGCCCAACGCAGACCACCCTTCCTATCTAAAGGATATCAGCAGTCATGAAGGCAACAACCTCCTTCACAATATCCTCAACCCAGACCACCCTTCCTATGTCATTCCTTGAAGAGAATGCAATATAATTACATAATTGTGGAAGTGATCGTGGGCATAATAATTATCTGGGCATGTCTGCAACAATATTTGCAATTATTTATTTAGATGAATCAATTCAATGAATTATCCATCTAGTTATATACCCAAATGATTGTGAACTTGAAGTTCAAACAATAATTGATTGATTTGGAAAATATTGCAAACCATTACAAATATTTTTATTTTCAATGGCGTGAGATACATCATTTTTACCTTTATTTTAATTAGTCATATTCATTTCATTAGCCATATTTTCTTTGTCATGATTTGACCTCGGGTGAAATTTTCTATCATCCCTTCAAGGGTTATATCCTTGCCTGCTCATAGTCCTCAAAATGGCTGAAGTCTTTCATAGAGTATTGGGCATTTGCTTCAGGTAATGCTTTTGAAGTGGTTCATTAACTTTGCTTTTAAACCAATGGGTCAAAATTTATAATTGTTTTCACTCACTTCAAGGATGTGAAATTTTGGATTTTCTTCATTTGTCGTAATAGTATACTCAAAATTCCTTAAATTAATAATAAGGATTGTCAAATGCTCACTGTTACTTCAAGAGCAAAATGATATAATTTCTCAATACATTGTAAGGATTTTCAAGCACTTACTACTACTTCAGGAGCATGGGGATATATATTGTCAAATACCCATGACTACTTCATGAGCATAAATAAAAATGGAAAAGAGAGAATGGGTAGAAGAAGATTAATGAGAAATTGATAAAAGAATAAACAAATGAATATACCCACAAAATCCCTACCTTGTACACAAAAACACAAAAAATAATTTTTTGTAAACCTTTTAACCTTAGTTGATGGAGGCTATCAAGCTGATAATGTGTTATGAAATTGATATGGAATATAAGAGAAAGAGATAAAATTATAGAGATAAAAAAAATATAGGAATGAGAAATAGATAAAAAAAATATAGAATAACTTGTGTGAGGCTTTATTCCATTTTATGTATCTCTTTACAAGTTTACAATAACATGTATTTATAGGCTAAAGAAGAGTGGACAAAGGGTTAATCACCATAAAGATGATATAAGTGGTTATACTACTCTTAATGGAGAATATGTAAATATAAATGATTGCAAGGAGATAAAAAGGTATGGAGGTGAAGCATTCACAAATTCATTTCATAACCTAATAGTCATTATTTCATAGAGAGCGGGATGACTATTCTTATAATAGGTAAGATTTGAGAAATTTTGTCCGTCTTCAAACACCTTAAGAAAAATAATTTGATTTAATAAATATATGTTAAGCTTCTTAAAGTAATTCTCTTTAAATTTGATCTCTTAAATTTATATAAGAAAGAACTTAAAAATAAAAGTTTGTGTATACATGCATTTTATTTCAAGTAATAATAATACGAACCTGTTCTCCAAATAATAATAATAATAATACGAACCTTGATATTGTGCATATATGTGATGTTTTGTTATTTTTTCTTCTATATTTCAATAAGAATCAATGAATCATATAATGTAAAATGAGATACAAAATTTCAAGGTAACAGTTTTAACTTTATAATTCATTACATATTTATTGCATTTTAAAAAAAAATGTCTAGATTCATTTATTTACATTAAAGCTGATCTATTTTATTTTTTTCAATTCATTTGTATGCATTAATCAATATTGAATAAAAAAGGTGAAGAATAAATAAACCTCAACAATATAGCTTCCCTATAGATATCCCACTTAACAGATAGTCTAATATATTATGTGTGGCAGATAAAAACTTCTGTACCAACTAAAAATATTTTTCTCAATTATAAATAGGGAGGCAAAGATTCATTGTATATTCATTTTTTTCATTACATTCAAGCTTATCACTTAAGCCATTTAATGTGGTTCAAACTTATTATCATCTATTATTGAACCACCTAATGGGTCCAACAGCTTCTAGAAGCAATAGACTAAGATAGGTAATCCGTAATCCCATTCGTAAAAAATGGGTTAAGTCTCTTAGTTATGCCTTTTGATCTCTACTTTCTTTTCGGATATAAGTAAGAATTGAACTTTACTTTCTTAATTATCATTGTGCGCATCCATCATCTCGTGCACAATCATCTTTCATCATTTACATCTCTTTCATTAACTTCTATGAACATACACATCACATATTAATTATGTGCATACGATCATTATTAATAGCCAACCCTTAATAATTTTTATAATTAAGGCTAAGTTGACAATTTTTTTATGAACTAACGTACGATTTAATAATTTTTATTTTTTTCTTTGTTTCTACTAGTAGTCTCTCTAGCATTGTCTCATTGGCTCGCTTATTGTCCGTGTCAAAATAGTAGATAATAAGAGAGGGAAAGTACATAAGGAACACTAATCGAAATTGTCATTTTTTTAATGAAATTTTTCATCGAAAATGGTGAAAATTATGTCGAAAATAAAGTTTTTGGCAAAATTATCAACATATTGTAAGGCGTCAAATTTCTTTTCATCGATAGCAATTTTTTGGACAAAATTTACTTCCGTCGAAAGTCAATGAGAAAATAAATAAAACAAAATAGAATAAAATATAAGAAATGAAATTATGATTAAAAGAAAATATATAACTAAGAAAATGGAATTAAAGTCAATGAAAAAATAAATAAAACAAAATAGAATGAAATATAAAAAAATGAAATTATGATTAAACGAAAATATATAACTAAGAAAATGGAATTAAATCATCTCTATGAAATCCAATAGAGAAAGAGAAAAAATGAAATCCAACAACTTCTATATTATTTCCTATTTATCATAAAAAAAATTAAACCCATAAAAAAAAAAAAATTTTAAAATCTACTAATCTGCAGAATAGGTAAAATTTATCCAAAAATCATGACGTAAGAGTATAACAAAACTCCATAAATTTTAACAAAATACGAGTGTATGACCATATTTAATGTAGTTATATCTATTTCTCTTTTTACACATTGTCACGTGAAAAACTTACTCACGTAAATAAATCTGTTCTCGTTACATTTACATTTCTAATTATTGCTCAACAAATTGAAATAATCATGGTTCACTCTGCATTCTATCCAGATCTCAATCTTCCTGTAGTCTTGCATTAAGTGTCTTATCCATTTATCTTTTTATATTGCACTATTATAAAAGGATAATGTACTCCTGCTATTGCGCTGCAGAAAGAAAATTTTATAGTAACAAAAAATAAAAAATAAAAACAAAGTAAGATACCCCGGTGGATCTTAGTTTTTTTTTTTTTTTTAAAGGTGAATACCATTTTTTTGTGTAACTATAAAAAATATTACAGTAACAATAGAAAAAAAGCACCCATTATAAAAATCTTATTTTATTTAGTCAAATGTGAGTTACATATAATTCACAAGGGATTTATAATTATCCCGAAGATGGAGAAGGAGATTGCTTTCTGCTGAGACAAACAAAAATGGGACCTACCATAATTTTAAATAGAAAAAAGAAGAAGAGTAAATACTATTTTCGATTCTCAGCAAATTTTACGATAACCGTTTTAGTTCCTAACAAATAAGAAAATTATTCGTGGTCCTTAAGAAATTCAAAGTGAATCCATTTTATCCCTTTTGAGAGACTAATGTGGGTCTTTTTTGAATTTGTGAGAGATCACAATTTCAACTAAATGGATCCATTTTGAATTTCTTAGCGATCACGAATAACCTTTTTATTTGCTAGAGACTAAAACGGGTATCGTAAAATTTGATGAGATCCAAAAAAAAGTATTTACTTAGACAAAAAACATGACCCATACATCCATGACCATGTGAGAGGAGCATGAGGTTAACTTCTCCGTTGAACGGAACAAGAATAAATCCCAATTCACAAATAATTTTATTTCCAAATCATATGTTAATGGCACTGGTAAATCATGTAATTAAAGTTGAGATTTTATATAAAATTGAAACGAAAAAAAAAATTATAAAACATAAAATAGTAAACTAAAAAAATCATAAAAATATAAAAGTATTTAAAATATTAATAAAAAAATTTGATAAATTTTTTTTATAAAAACATAATATCATAATAATAAAAATTAGATTTTAACTACCACAGTAAACAAACGAGTAAACATGGAGCGCATCACAGGGGACCCAAACTCGAAACAATGACCATTTTGTCACACTTCAGTAAATTATTTATCAAACTGCCATGTTAAAAGTAAAAATTCTCGGAATGTTACGCGACATAATTTGTTACACTGTGCAGCGAATTATGTCATGTTAGACTGCACAATCAACAAAAATAACACGTGTCAAGCAAACAGCAATTTATTACACTGTGGTTAACTTCTCTCCTGAAGAAGTATAAATCCCAATTCACAAATAATTTTATTTCCAAATCATATGTTAGCATTCCGAAAATTTTTACTATTAATGAAATTCTGGTAAATAATTTTGCTAGCTATAACAAAATGATTATTGTTCCCCAAACTCGACCCAATAGTGGATAAGGATTCCCACGTCAATAACTTTCTCAGACAACACTACCTCTGACAAACCAACAACAAAACAAAATAACACCCACCTAATCCACAACCGACACGTGTCAGTCCCCCACTCCTTCTACCGCCTTCATTTTCCTCTTCAAATTCACCTCGCATTCCGGTAACCCACTCCCTCGTTCTCTCTCTCTCTTTCTCTCTGTTCATAGCATATTAGCACTCTTTTTTAGCGATGCTCTGAATTTTTCTTTATATGTTCACTGAATATGATGGGTGCCTCCGATTTTCCGGCAAGGTTCAAACTTTCCGTCGCCGGCGTTGAGATTGCTGGTTTTTCCGGTATGAACCGTTTGCGACACCCTCTTTGTTAATTTAGAAATGCTAGATCTATTCATCGTAGCTCACGTTCGATCCAAAACCTGGTTCCACAAGAGGAAAAAAAAGAACCCACGTTATTCCCTTAATTCCTCGTGATATTCCCCTTCCAATTTCGTAGTATTATGGGATTGTAATTTGCGATTGTACAGTTAGAATTTCTCTCTCTCTCTCTCTCTCTCTTTTGTTTTGATATTTTCTTGATTTTCCAATTATGTTTGGTGGGTTTGCAAAGGCTGTACAGTTAGGATTGTAGATGGTGTATGCTGGAAAGTGTTGTTGAAGGAAAAATCAGATTTTGATTCTGGGTTTGTGGTGGGGTATTTTGTTGGTGGTGATTTTGAGAAGGTGGCGAAAATGAGCATGAGTGTGACCGAGGAAGAATCGGGTGAAAAGGTTTATCTCCCGGCCGAAATTGATTGGAAAATGCTTGATAAATCCAAGTTTTTCTTCCTTGGAGCTGCCCTCTTCTCTGGGGTTTCTGCTACCTTGTACCCTGTTGTTGTGTTGAAAACCAGGCAGCAAGTGGCTCAGTCCCAAGTTTCTTGCATCAAGACTGCATTTTCATTGATTAGGGGTGAGGGTTTTAGAGCATTGTACCGCGGATTTGGGACTTCTTTGATGGGTACAATCCCTGCTAGAGCTTTATATATGGCTGCCTTGGAGGTTACCAAGAGTAATGTGGGGACTTCTACGGTTAGGTTTGGTATTGGAGAACCTACAGCTGCGGCAATTGCCAATGCAGTTGCTGGCTTGAGTGCAGCCATGGCAGCTCAACTTGTGTGGACCCCAATTGATGTTGTGAGCCAGAGGTTGATGGTTCAAGATGGTTATAATTCCAGTAATCCTAAGGCTTCAGCTTGTCGATATGTCAATGGGATTGATGCCTTCCGGAAAATTCTTAGCACAGATGGCCCTAGGGGCTTGTATAGAGGTTTTGGGATATCAATCTTGACCCATGCACCTTCCAATGCAGTTTGGTGGGCTTCATATTCTCTTGCACAAAGGATGGTTTGGGGTGGAGTTGGGTACTACTTGTGCAAGAAAAGTGAGGAGAGGAGTGACACTGCAACTAATGTTAATGCTAGTGCTAGTGCTAATGCTTTGAGGCCAGATACAAAAACAGTAATGGCAGTTCAGGGACTCAGTGCAGCAATGGCTGGTGGCATGTCTGCTTTGATTACCATGCCACTGGATACAATCAAGACAAGACTGCAAGTCTTGGATGGTGATGAGAATGGCCGTCGCGGACCAACAGTTATGCAGACGGTGAGGAGTCTGGTTAAGGAAGGTGGCTGGATGGCTTGTTACAGAGGATTGGGACCTCGATGGGCTTCAATGTCAATGTCTGCAACGACAATGATCACAACCTATGAGTTCCTAAAAAGGCTTTCCGCAAAGAATCAAGAGGTTTTGACATGATGAATGATAGGTTTATAATAACAAAAAGGAAAACAAAGAGAAGAGGATGGTTTTTTCCTCTCTTCTTTGCCTAAATTATGTTCTTAGCTTCTCTCAACTTGTCTAGGTTATCTCTTCTCTTTGAGCTTGCCAGCATGACTGCTTGATCAATGTAAGTCATTGCAGTTTATCCTATATAAATAAAAAATTTCTTCTAACACATCGATATTTCTTAGTCACCATTGAAATCATGCATGTGCTTCATACTAATTTGGAAGTTTAATTAGATGATCATGAGCCAGTCTGGTTTTTTCAAATTGAATAGCATCTATTAGCTAATACAATAACTCTGAAACGTAAGAACCCTGTGGATTCCAATATTTTGTAGCTTTTGGTTTTCGGGTTGAATCTTGTCTATCATGTTATCTATTGAAAGCTTTTTAAAAAAAAGTGTTAGTAGAGTATAGCAGACACTTACCAGCATTCGGGAATCTTGGATTTTCTTTCACTCATGTTTTCCAACGAGGGAAAACATGACAGAATAATATTTCCCTTATTTTATTTGTATCTATGTTTGGTTTTTTGTGGATAAATTTAATTAATGGTGGGGCTACAACAGTGCGTGGACCCTGGGGTAGCAGTGTCGTTTACTTCAGTTGTTAATTACATAGTTGCCCACTACCAAGAAAAAACAATTACATAGTAGTCCTATTGGATCTATTCTGCAAAGTTGTACTCTGTATAATCTTGAACAGATTAATTTTTTTTTTTTTTTTTGGGGTTTACCCCATAAGTTTTCATTAAAAATAATATCTGCATATCAGCGCTCTTTTCCATCCATGTGCAGTGTTTAAAAAATCTGCCATTTATTAATTAATTTAACATTTCATGTTAAATAATGCTAAAATAAATTCTTGTTTTGTCTAGATCCATGTTACATTTGTGACAGGTTTAGATTCTGCTTTTGCCTGAGTCTTTAATTTCCACCTGATTGTCTTTATGTTTTGGTACAATAAAGTGTGATAGATTCTTTATTGATTTTATTAATCTCATGTTAAAAGAGATAATTATCTCATGTTATAGAGACAAACTAGTGGGCTCCACCATCTGAAAAAATAAAAGAAAAGAAAAGAAAAAGAAGACACAATTATCGAAGTGTGTGTAGAAGAAAAAATTTATGTCATGTGACATAAGAATAGTTTTTTCCATTCTTTATATGCAATAATCATGTTCCTACAAGAAAACTAGAAACACATTCACTTATCCAAAGAAATTTTTCTAAATCATTTTAAATTTTTTTATCTTTATATGTTAGTTATCATATGGAAATAATTATTTTAACCCAAAAGTTTAAATTTTAGATGATAATCATATTGATAATTTTTATATTATATTTCTTTATTTTGTCCTCTTATTTAAGAGTTTATTCGACTTAAAAATGAACAATGTACAGATTTATTATTTATGCTAAGAAATTTTAATATTTAATTGTGTTCGTTTTTTCTACCGTCAATATAGATAACTTATCTACAGAGAGCCCAAAACGACGTCATTTTGAAGCAGAAATCAAGGTATTTTTGTAATTATAATTTATTTCAGGATTATAATATTCTTTTTCGTTATAATTTTTTAATTTTTCAACCCAAAACGACGTCGTTTTAGGTGTGAATGTAATAATTTATCTACATTCACTTTAGTAACATTAAAGTCCTATTTAATTATTAAGTGGAAGAGAGCAGTTTTTAGGAGGTCGATCCATTGTTGTTAAGAAATTCAAATATTTAATTATTAATAAAAAAGAATTGAATCATTTGTACTAATTTTTTTTATAATATTAATTATTAATAAAAAGAGAGCAATTGAGGATCTGACTATTGGGTCACATAGGTTTTATATCATATAAAACAATAATTTTAACCTAAAATCTTAAGTTATTTGGTAAAAATTATATTGATAATTTTTATATCATATTTCTCTAACATCATGTAACCTATCAAAAATTTATTAGTAATAGAAATGAGTCATAAAAAAACTGAATAAAATAAATAGATCTCATAGGAATAACGCATAAATAAATGGATAATACACATATAAATATAAAATATATTTCAACTAGCAAATGCAACAAGTTTATCATTTTAACAATGAGAACAATTTTTTATTTTAATATTCAAAATTCATAGAAAAATTATACTCCATTCACTCGAGATATGTAGGAAGATGTTCACATTATACTGTCTTCTTTTTTATTTTTTTGGTGAACTGTCTTCTTTTTATTTTAAAATATTACACTTCCTTAAGAGATTAATATGTGTCACATTTTAATTTTAATTTTTTTTTTGGCTAATATGTGTCACATTTTAATTTATTCGATGTGAATGACTCTTTCAACGATAATTTTTCTCTTCCTACAATTCTCAGTGTCTACCAATAACTAGTATTGAATTTCTATGATCGACTTTGAAACTTCAAAAAAGTAAAATGAAAACTTTATATGAAGCTCAAAACCTCATATGAAGGAAGTAAATTTAAGAAGAGATCGTGGAGAAAGGAAAGAAGCAGGGAATAGAGAAGGGAGAGAAAAATTAAGAGAGAATTTGGGAATCAAATAAATCATGTTTATTCCATTCATTTTCTGAATTATATAGGAAATTAAAGCAATCAGCAACTAACACTAGAGATAATTAAATCAAGCAGAATCCTAATCCTATACTACTTCCACGGAACGAAAACAACCAGATAAGCCAAGAAGATAACAACCCGTAAAATAAGCTAAACCATTAATCAGATAACTAGATTTCAAATAAACAACTAATTGCTACTGGAATCAAGGAGTGGGCTTCCTGACTCCCATCTCATACTCCTCCAAGTATTTGGGCTTCTGCACCTTCCTTTTGGGTCTGGTTCCTCTTAAGCCCGCTACACTGCCTCCCCCTTCAAAGGTGACCTTGTCCGCAAGGTCCACTAAATTTGGGCTGATCAAATCTTGAGTGCGATGAGTGGCACTGATTGAGTTGGAGGGCGAACTAGCAATGGCTCTTGTTGGCGGTGGGAAAGATCCATAAGGAGATAATGTAATCCCACAAGACAGACCCTGATTGGTCGAAAATGTGGCTGCCTCATTTTGAGTGGTGGATGTAAAAGGTGCAATGAAAGCTGGCTGAGACACGTTTTTGGGAGCAGGGGTGTCAGTCTCGAGACTCACACTCTGTTGCTTACTCGAACAGTCTCCAAAAGAGGGGTCTGAGGAGTCTTGTCCCATCACTTGCCCGTTGGATTCACAATAATGCTTTTCATTTGCTCTTCCTGTATTATACACATTTGCCCACTTCTCTTTCAGCTTTGTATTTCCGTCAAACATCGCAACTGGGTTATCACCCATTTCCTGAGTGTCCCCTTTCACTCCCATTCGTCCATTTTGTATAATCAATTCGTTTTGATTTTCCTTCAACTTTATAGAGATGTCAGGGACCACGCCCTCTGGTTGGGTAAACACATCGCAAGGTTCCCTTTTGTCGGTGATGTCAGAGCTGGGCAGAGGTAGTTGTACCTCGGTTTCGTCTTCCCAAGTTGCCGCATCTGGAGGTAAGTCAGACCATTGAACTAGCACTTGTTGGGTCTGTCTACCTTGGCGCCAAATGGTCCTTGTTGACACAATAGCTAATGGTTTGTGATGTATTTCAGATGAGGATGGCAGAGGTGGAAATGTTGTCTTAGATGACTCCGTGCCAGGGAAGTAGGGTCGTAGAAGTGAGACATGAAACACTGGGTGGATCTTTGTTTCCGGAGGGAGAAGGAGGCGATAAGCCACGGGTCCGATGCGTTCCAGTATCGTAAAGGGGCCAAAAAAGCGCGGTGCCAGCTTCTGACAAGAACGACGGTGAAGGGATAGTTGTCGGTAAGGTTGCAGTCGCAAAAGGACCAAGTCTCCAACACTAAAGGTTCGATCTGTTCTCCTTTTATCAGCTTCGCGTTTCATTGTTTGTTGTGCTCGCCTCAGGTTGTCTCGTAACTTCTGCAGGACCGAGGTGCGTTCAGCTAAGGTTGAGTCAACAGCTTCCAAGGCGGATAATCCCAGGGAGTAGCGAAGAGGGCATGGTGGGGGTCTGCCATAGGTGGCTTCATAGGGTGATAGCCCGATGCTTCTGTTGTAAGCTGTGTTATAATGGTACTCCGCCAGAGGTAACATCTTAATCCACTCTTTCGGTTTGTCATGCACAAAAGCTCTGAGATATTGCTCTAATGTTCTGTTAACCCTTTCTGTTTGGCCGTCTGTTTGAGGGTGGTATGCTGAACTGAAGTGGAGTTGCGTTCCCTGTAGCTGAAACAACGATTTCCAGAAAGTGCTCAAAAATAATGGGTCCCTGTCAGATAGTAAGCTCTTCGGCGTGCCATGGAGTTTGCCAACGGAGTCCCAGAACGCCTGTGCTACCTTAGCAGCTGTGTAACGGGTCGGGAGGGGAATGAAATG